TGTGTGTATGTGTGTGTGGTAATTGAAAACAGGGCAGCATTTCTGTCAGTGTTAGTAAGTTGCTTTCAGTTCACTTTGAACAGGTTTGTGTTGAATTTGTCACCTTGATCCTGATAGTTTCCTCACATTACAACCACACGTCATTATTGGATGGTTGCACCCATGTTTTGGAAAATCGAGTACATTTATTGGATGTAAAGATTAAACTTGCAAATGATCCTCTGACCTAGTCGTTCCCATCCTGTGGAGTCAGGACCCGTTGAATCCGAGACAGTTCTTCAAACTTAATTCTAATTTTCCCCTTTTTGTGTGTGAATCTTTTACCTTTTTAAAGCCTGTTCAAATAAACTGGGTGGAAAACACTCGCTGGTCTGGTCGAGCTCACGATAAGGAAGCTGCGCTGTTATAATATGGGCTGATTATCTCTAGGAAGGCTTTGCTTGCACTTGATGCCACAGAAGGGCAACCCCCTATGTGTCCTGACCCCTGGTGAAGGCTTAAATGTCACCTCATCCACTAATTGCATTTAGCACTAGGTGCCATCCTGCTTTGATTGCATCAGCAAAAAAAAAAAAGAAAAGAAAAAGTGATGGGAAGTGAAAGACACAAACTCAGCAATGGAGAACAAGCTTGTGACTTGGGTTCAGATAAATCACCGCCACCAAGGTTATAAGGGGATCTATGTACCAACTGAAACGACCACATTCCTGTCGAGTCACTTTGTCTGGCTGTCATTTTGTGCCTTCACAGGGAAACAGGCGTAACACATATTTGTCGCGCCACCCATGAACTGCTTTATGTCCGATAGATATGTCGCCTGTTCACACCGCGCGTCGCTCAATGCCATCACCCTTTCTTTATCTTCTGTTTCAGGAACTGCAGTCCTTTGATGAGTTTCGGGGCTAGTTTTGTGAGTTTTCTGGTGAGTTATTAAGTTTGTTTTGTGGCCCCAACATTATTGTAAATCGTCTGTTTCGTAATGAGGTTCAAGGAATTTCCCTGCCTGTCACAAAGCCAGATGACTTCTTATTTTTGCCTCTGGCACACAAACAGAGGTGTGAGTTCTTTATCTGGCTCTCTCTCTAGAATGCCATGATGACGTTTGAAGAGGAGAAAATGCAGATGGCCTTTGAGGACCTCAAAGCTACAGAGAGACTGTGTGAGAGTGAAAACACTGGTGTCATTGAAACCATTAAAAACAAGATCAAGAGGAGTGTGAGTAACTCATTCAACACATCATTGAATTGAACGTAATCGAATGATGTATGACAAATGCGGACGGTCTGAAAAGGACCGTTGTATGTTGGAACGAATGTCCAGGTTCGTTAGCTTGTCGAGATGTCCGTTTGTCCCCTCGGTCTCTAAGTGTGAGGTGTTTGTGTGGGCAGGTGGACTCTCAGAGGTCGGGGGTGGCTGCAGTGGACCGACTCCAGAGGCAGATCATCATTGCAGACTGCCAGGTTTACCTTGCAGTGCTGTCTTTCATCAAACAAGAGCTGTCATGTAAGGGAACTTTTAGTGTTTGTTGGTTAACTATGAAGACTGCACATTTATCGGTGTGAAATGAAAATAATGAACTTTGGAGTTCTGTAATCTTAGTTTTAATATTACTCGCTACCGCTGCAAAGGATCGCATGTTTCACTGACCTCAACTTCAATCTCCTGACAGCATACATCAAAGGAGGCTGGATCCTCCGTAAAGCCTGGAAGATGTACAACAAGTGTTACAGCGACATCTCACACCTGCAGGAGGGCAGCAGACGAAGAGCGTCTGAACAGCAAGCGACGCCGCCTCCGTCTCTGTCCTCCTCCTCAGACCGCAGCCGCTCCTCTTCGCCTGGGCCGAGCCTGTCACAGAGACTGGACGGCGTCAGCCCGGAGGCTCTGGATCGGCTAAAAGGTTCCGTCAGCTTCGGTTACGGGCTCTTCCACCTCTGTATCTCGATGGTGCCACCGCACCTGCTGAAGATCGTCAACTTGCTGGGTTTCCCTGGCGACCGCCTTCAAGGCCTGTCAGCGCTCACATACGCCAGTGAAAGTAAGGACATGAAGGCCCCCTTAGCTACGTGAGTATGTGAGTGAGTACGTTTGTGTATCATCTGTATTCTGGCTGTAACTGGAACATGATCTAAATAATTCAACTGTAAACAATGTCTAAGTGTAGGCTATCTCCCTCACAGTAAGAGGAGCATCATTTCCTGAGGAAAGAAGGTGTGATTTTTGTGATACACAGTACTACTGGATCTACTGATCCAAAATTACCAAGATATTCATCACTAACTTATTGTATTCTGGTTTTTCAGGCCATGTTAAATTGACTGAATATACAAAATCATTTTAATACAGAACATGAAAATTAGTTAAAAGTAATTACAAATGTTCTAATTTTGTACCAGGTGGGATCATCTTTATAGAAGTTGTTGTATTTCTGTCCAGTACACTCCCTCTCACTGGTCTCTGTGCTTCCTTTACAGCTTGGCCCTCTTGTGGTACCACACGGTAGTGCAGCCCTTCTTCGCTCTGGATGGCACAGACACACAGGCAGGCCTGATGGAAGCCAAATCCATTCTTCAACAAAGGGAGGCTATTTATCCAAACTCCTCCCTCTTCATGTTTTTTAAAGGCAGAGTTCAACGCCTTGAGGTGAATACATGTTAAGAATAGACCTGATTGTCCATGTGGCCTGACTTGCGAAAGCTCAATATTGTCTCAGCCTGTAACTCACACCACAAAGTTCCCCTTTCTAGTGCCAGATCAGTAGTGCCTTGACGTCCTTCCGTGATGCCTTAGATCTGGCCTCTGACCAGAGGGAGATACAGCACGTGTGTTTATATGAAATAGGTACTATTTCCCCTCTCAGATTTCAAACCACCTTGTTCAACGCTAGTCTGCATCATAATTTCTGATTGTTGAATGTTTTAGGTTGGTGCAGCATGATCGAACTGAACTACACAGAAGCCTACAAAGCCTTTGAGAGACTGAAGACAGAGTCTCGCTGGTCCCAGTGCTACTACGCCTATTTAACCGGAGGTGGTTACAGTACAAATGAATAAGGCTTTAAAGGCATTTCATGCATTTCTTGGAGGTTTGGTATTGGTTGCTCATCCATATTAAACGTTGTTGTGTTGTGTTAGTGTGCCAAGGAGCCACAGGTGACCTGGAGGGAGCGGTCTCTGTGTTCAAGGATGTTCAAAGACTTTTCAAACGCAAGAATAATCAGATCGAGTTGTTCTCCATGAAGAGGGTATGTATCCAGATGACTTTCTATTGAACATTTTTGGTGCAAAATACAGTAAAAATCAATCAGTATGAATGTCCAATTTTTTTTCAGGCTGAGAAGCTAAGGAGCACCAGTCTGTCCAAAGAACTCTGTATCCTGTCTGTGATCGAGATTCTTTACCTGTGGAAAGCTCTGCTAAACTGCTCCACCACCAAGCTGCAGACAATGACACAAGGTACTCGATTTTAAGTTGTTGTTTAAATCACCAACCCACACTTGTTATGTTGTTTTGTTGACTTTGGGTGTAGCTAAACTTTCTTTTTTTTCTTCTTTCTTTTCTTTTTTTTAGTTCTGCAGGGGATTGATGATGCCTCAAGTGCAGGCCTGAAAAATCTGCTTCTTGGTGCCATTAACAAATGTCTTCATAATACCAAAGATGCCATTCAGGTACTCCCATGTCTAATTAAATGCATAGGGCTTGGAAATATATTATGAAAGATACAGTGTTGGGAGTAACGGCGTTTTGAGTATAATGGCGTTATTTCTTCAGTAATGAAGTAATCTAATTAATTACGTCGTTGCAACGCCGTTACCGTTAC